ACACACACACACACACACACACACACACACACACACACACACACACAGATGTGCATGTTACTAAAGCGAGGCAAACAAACACAGACCACCTCAGCCATTTGAGGACACTTTCTGTTTAATGTTATTTATAAACAGCTTTTGAGTCTGGCATTGTTTGATAACCACATACAAAACATTTGTGCTGCACAAAGGAAGAGAGGAGAGAGAAAAAGAATAAGGAGATAGAAGGAGGGAGCAACGAGGATGGAAGAGAAAGGAGAGGAGAAGGTGGAGCAGGAGGGAGAGAAATGCAAGCAGGGAGGGAGGGAGGGGAGGGAAAGACAGAGGGATGAATAGGGGGGATAGAAAAGCAGAGAGGAGGATCAGGAGGGGGGCAGTGTTGTGTTAGTGTACCGTATCTTGAATGAGTCAGCAAAACAATACAAAAAATGAAATAATGATAATAATCTTATTTAATAAAAAATAAAGTTCCAGCTCCTGGCTTCCATGTTTATTTTTTTAGGGAACTACCGAGACACAGCGGAGAGTTTCCCCCTTTTTTTTTTTTTTTTTTTTTACAAAAAGAAAAGAAAATCATCCTCACAGGAATAAACAGACACAATTTACATCACCTCTGGGTTCACAGCAGCACAAACAAGTTCACCAGAGGGGGGTCTCTAATCCTACATGTCAGAAGAATGACACCAGTGACAGGCTTCTGTTCGTCCCCAACATTTAGATAGATAGACATAAAAAGGCGGGGCTCAGCAGGAGACGCATACAAGCAGGGTACAAATGTGGCCCCTGCTCTCCGATTCCCCTCCAAACCACGTGTGTTTAGGTCGCCGGCAAACCGTACTGATAACCTCTTGTGCTTTTTGTCAGCATGCCATGATTTTAGCTTTTTAGTGTAGTCATATTTTGCATACAAGGGCAGCTCCTTCTTAAAATAGAATTTATAACTGTGTAATGCTAAAAGAAATAAAGACTTTTAGCATTACTGGCTAGTTAAGGTACCCGGATGGCCCGTGTGTATCTATACAGGTTTCACCTATTGTAGTTGTGCACTTGAGACTTTTAAGTGAAGGACTCTGAAATAGTTCAGGTCTGAAGTCATAACCTGTGGTGCTCTGCTGTGGGATTTGAAAATCCCCGGACTAACCGGGGTTAGTAGTTTGCAGTGTGACAGGAAGGCTGTGAAGGTGATCGGGCTTCGTTAGGGTTGTGTGTGTGTGTGCTTGAACCGCTCCGGTTCATACAGAACACCGTGTCCCGTGGTCCTCCCTGTCCTTGTTATTTCCTGAAGGAGCCTCAGAAAGTGGCGGCCTTCTCGGATGTAGCAGCATTAATATCCAACTCTCCGCTCGGTGCTTACAGATTGCCGAGTCCGCCTGCTTCGGAGCACATTAAACACACCAGAGAGGACGAGGACAGGAGTGCAGCAGGAGTTTGTCAGTCCCTTTGCCCTGTGGTGATCATCACATATTCTGAGCTGCTTTTTGTTGTGCAGTAGTTTAAACCATTGCAGGATGTATGTTGTGGTGGTTATCACTCCTCCCTGATTGTAGGGCCATTTTTTTCCCCCCAGCGTTTGAAACATTCCTGTGACTATTTAGATTGAATCATCTGTACTTGAAGGATATATTTTTTTCATTAGCCTCCACAGCATTACAGAGCAAAAGTACTGGAAGTCAGACGTTCTGTGAGCCAGGTTCTGGTTTTCCCTTGGCCTGCATGTGTTGACCTTTCAGGCTCGTTGAAGCCTCCGTTTTGTAGCCAGTGAGGTTGAAGAGTGAATGAAGCCGTCCCGTACCTTCATAGTTTGTCCTTCTTGGCCACTGGCTCTCATGAGGCGTTCTTATCTATTGTCGTTCTACCCGCATGGCTTTAGTGTTTTTTGTTGTATTTTTTAAGTAGACACAAACTCACACAATACAAACAGTTATACAGACATTCTTTCACTCACTCATTTACACTGACTGTGACCGGTTGGCTCTTTACAATGAAAGGTTGGTTCTGAATGGCTTTTAAGGAGATGTGTTGCAAGGACAAAGGACACCTTTTAACTAGGACTAGTTTGAAGAATTGTCAGTTATGTAAATGCGTCACAACACCAGTGGTGTTTTAGTGAGTTTAGACTAAAGATGTGAATCAAAGTGGGTTCACCTTCCTGTGAGACATGCAAGTAAAATCCCTTTATTACTAGATATACAGTGATTCCAGTTATTACTGCTATGGCAGTACGATGATTCACTTTACTGCCACTGGTGTCGTGCAGTAACTTGCTTCTGGATCTTAAGGTGCTGTTGAGTGAGCAGTGTGACAGTTATGAATGACATAGAGTCAGAGCCTTGAACTGTTTTGATCCATATTGTGCTTTTTTTTTTGTTTCCTCGCTGTTACTTGAATGAGTCATTGGCTTGTTATTTTATGTGGCTGTACATTTTTTTCATTAGAGCGTGGATCTAGCGAAGCAATCGATGCCACAGAGACAAAATGTTACGTTTTCCTGATGTTTCCCTGGGTGACATCATCAAAGCAATAGGTTAAATTGTTTTCCCTGTTTTCCCATGTTTCGATTATGAGTCATAAAGATTCCTGCCTTAATACAGCAGGGATACCTTTACAGTAGATATTTGATAATGTTCTTTTTACACAGTCATGTACACACTCACAGTTATGCACACATGCCTCATTGAAAGAGCCAGGACAGGGTGGTTCAGGAGAATGAATCATAAGGTTGGATCACCAGCGCAAAAGTGGCCGTTTCCTGTCTCAGCGTAGGATGACAGAGATGAGTGACAGCAGCAGAGCTGTTAGTAAACTGAAGGTATAATCTGCAAAGTGTGACCCAGCGTTATTATTGGCTCTCTGGACTCCACTCGGTGGGCCAACAGAAGTTCTGGGGATGCACTTGTTCTTCCTCCTTGCAGTTCCAGACAGATCGTATTTACCTCCATCTGGAGTATAGTCTTTCTCACCCCCCTCCCGCAGTACCTGCACCTCATTCGGCCCCCCTTTTCCCTTGCGGCCCCGACGGGTACAGTTTCTGCGACCCCCCTTGGGTGGCCGCGGCAGGGGCGAGGGTGAAGGCAAGCTGTACTGATCACCGTGGGGCAAGTACGGCCGCTGATGATGGGTGTGATGGTTTCTGTGACGATTCAGGTGGTTCAAAGAATCTCCATGCTCCATCTCCCCACCAGGGGCCCCGTGTGCATGACCCTCTGCTGGCAGGCAACTGGGCAGGTCCTCTTTCTTCAGCGTTTTCAGGTCCTTCTCTGCCAGCTCTGGTGGTGAAACGCACATCAGAGTTGAGGTGGAGCCTCTGAACCTACGCAGCCAATCCCAAATTGACAGCGCCTTGCAGTCACACTCCCACGGGTTGTCGTTCAGTCGTAGGTACTCCAGGGCCGGCAGTAGAGTCAAGCAGGATCCGGATAGCTCAGTGAGGGAGTTATTAAACAGGTACAGGGTGGTGAGGCGCCGCAGGTCATGGAAAGCTTGGCGGTCAACCCACTGGATTCGGTTCTGGTGCAGAAGCAGGCGGTCTAAGACCCCCAGACCACGGAAAGTGTTCTGGCGAAGGCTCCATAGTTTATTGCCATGCAGGAAGAGATGACTGAGGTTCAGAAGGTCGATGAACAGATCGTCCTCTAGGAACTCCAACTGGTTGTCCTGCCAGGATGTAGGGGAAGGATGGAAGGTAAAAACAAACAAACAGAAGTTTAAAATGGGGTGCAGTGCATTGAACACCACTTTGATACTGTATGAGTAATTTAAGATACATTCGCTGCATTATGATATATTGTTATTGGAAAAACATTCTTATCCTACTGTACATTAATTTCAGCAGTAGTCGGTTCTTGCACAGATTTTAGCTCAGTTCTGTACAGTATTACATACATACGTTATACAACACAAAGAATAGGTTTGCCTTATTGCACATAACACATTAACAAAGCACATCAAGTGCAGGTAATAGCCGGGCTATGCAAGGAATTAAAAGTCTGTATCCTTTTTTGATGCAGAATGATCTGTACGACTGTAGGGCAGTAGCTGAAAAAGTGGTGAGCGGTATAAGAGGGCTCAGAAAGGATTTTCTTTGCCCTTTGAGTGGTGCGTTTGAGGTCGAGGACTCTGTTAAAGGAAGGGAGGCCCGTTGGAAATGTTCGTGGTACTCTTACACACACACACACACACACACACACACACACAAACTGTACATTTGACAAGCTGATGACGTATGCTATCCAAGCTGTAACTTCACCCCATTCACTCAGTGTCGATATGAATCGATTTTCCCATCAATGATATGGAGAGGAGATCCTTATAGTAGAGTCTTTTCTCCTCATAAACCCACAATGTAAATTATGAAATCGTATACCCAATCCTGCATTTCCATTCCTGTGCTGCTATCAGCAGTTTATCCCAGAAGCTATGCTGTAGGTTATGTATGTAAGAACTGCTTTGTGCTATTTTCTCTGTACTCAAGATAACGGCTAGCATTTGATCACTGTCCAATTGAAATAAATCAGAATATGCGGTAAGTGCTGAGCCAGGCTGATGGACAGATTACACCATAATCAGATTCTGGTGGCAGATGTAAAGCACAGTAGAGATAAACGCCGGCTGTTATCTATGTACCTGTAGGTAGAGATACTGGAGACTATTGAGGCCCGCGAAGATGCCTGCAGGCAGGGTGATCAGGCCACAGTGGTATAGGTGCAGGGCGTGTAGCCTCCCCAGGCCCTGGAAGGTGTCTGAAGCAACAGCCTGCAGGTGCCGGTTGTCCCCAAGGTCGAGCTCCTCCAAGCGGTCGAAGCCATGCAATGTGGAGGGTTGTATGTAGGAGATGTTGTTGGAGTAAAGCCACAACATGGTGGTGGTGGGCGAGAAGTGGCCGCGGAGCAGCCGCTGGATCTTGTTGTTCTGCAGGAAGACGCGCTCGCTCTGGGCAGGGATGCCCTCCGGCACGGCATGGAAGTTGTGGGCCTGGCAGGAGACGGTGCTAGGTGAGGTGTAGCAGATGCAGTGGCGAGGGCAGGGCAGAGAGAGATCCAGGCCACACAGCACCAACAGTAACTCCACTCCACCATAACCTGAGAGAGGAGAGGAGAGGAGAATTAAAAAAAAAAAAAAAAAAAAAAAGGAAAGAGATGAACGGAAAGAGAGCATGAGAAAAAGACGAGCAGAATTAATTGGAGTCGTACAGCAGAGCTCCTGTTATCAGACACATCCTCAATGGAACACTCATTGCTCTCAGTTTACAAGGACAACAATGGGCATGGTTCAGCGCAGACAAATTACAAACACACATGTACACACACAAACATTCATGTATTGTTTTGTGAGCCCATATTTCTATTCCCAAACTGTTTACCCTAAGCCTTAACCTTGCCCACCCTTCACTGTTATCTTCATCTTCATCTCAAATCCAAACTCAGGGGACCGTTTTTTCACGTTTAGCAAAAACCTTGAAAATCCTTAATACTAAGAGACGCCTTCACCACCACACACACGCTTAAAAAGGAACTATTTTTGGAGCAGTGTGTGTGCGCAGTCATTATTATTATTATAATTTTGTTTTGATTGTCACATTTTCTTTGTGTTCCTGGGACCAATCTTGACGATGCAGCGCACAGACAACATCTTATCAAGCGCCGCGCAGCGTTCTATCTTTTGGTTATCCTCGAAAGGCGACAGAAAAATCGATGTTTCTCTTAATTACAAGTGAACACGCACCTCACCTGTAATACATTCCCACAATAAGGGAAAGCGAGAAAGGGGAGGAGATGGAGGATGAAGCGGGAATCATCTGCAGCATGCCTGTGAAGTGGATATTACTTTTTGTTTTCAGACTCTCCTCATCTCTTTCCTTTTTTTTTTTTTTTTTTTTCCTGCATTGGATCACTCCAGTGTTTGATGTATTGTGTGGCCAGAGAAGTAAAAGGAAAACAGAAAAAAAGAAAGGGCTAAAGGAGATGAGGACGGAGACGTGCTGATCCGGGGGAGTGATTACTGGACGGAGAGGGTTACGATACAATATGAACATCATGTGCTGACATGTGTACAGCCTTTAGTGTTTGTGTGTGTCAGTGACATGGACAGATGTGATAGGCAGATGTCAGGTTGTCCAGGACGCTACGGCTCTGTACAGAACAACATGTTCGGAAATGTCAGCAGAGGACAGAGCCGTATTATGTGTCTATATAGCTCTGTGCATAACCACAGACACACAGGTACGTATGTGTTTGTCCTCATGTCTCTCTGTATACTCTGTATATGTGACCTTTTATCTGGAACATATTGTGAGAGCAGTGTCTGTTGTATTTGACAAGGCTGAACTTTTCATAACAAAAATCCCAGCTGTCCTCATAGGAGACAGTCTTCTGTCCTGTGGTACCAACAACAAATCAATGCAGTCCTCTTTAATACTGTATGAATTAACATTTATAAATAAAGATGGTTAAAGGGAGACTCCCCAGGAACAGGGGAAACAGGATTTTTTTACAAATAGATTTCACCGTGAAACTTTCCCAGTTTAAGACAATTATTTTTGTTCGACAAGTTTTCTGAAATATGCAAATGAGGCATTATCTAAGATGACCTTTTGGTGAATTCAGGAGAAATCTACAGATGCAAATGGGAAACATTAAACCGGAATGTGTATTTCGGATGGTTTCTTTGCACAAAAAGACGTTATAGAAGTAAAGTATATCCAAAAATATCAAAATTGATCAGTGAGTGAAAAAACGATGTCTGCAACAACAACTTAATTATTTGTGCATTTTACTCATGTTTTTTACTATTTAATCATTAATAGTAATACACAATTCATCATCAATTTATGAAGCAAACACTTCTCATCATGTAGGACGGGGGTATTCAATTACATTTCTATTATAACTACTGCATGGATTAGAGTCATTGAGTACAGGTATTCATGTCCCCCATAGGATGAACTGTAACACTTTGCTGATCTCCTGACTTCTATCTAGCTATAGAGGTCAGGGGATCAGTACTAATACTATCTGACCAGTATTTGGGTTTATGACCAAATACCTGCAAAATGAAGCCTGTAATTAGCACTAATTAGCATGCGGAGGTTAGCATTTAGGTTGCAGCACCGATAGTTAGTATACAGTAGTCTCTCAGAGCTGCTAGCATGGCTGCAGACTCTGTTATTGATAACAACAAATGAATACAAATATGAAAAAAATAATTTGTTCTTCATAAATTATCATTGACATATTATTATTATACAGTGTGCCAATTTGTCATTTCGTCAAACTTAAATCGTTAACTAGCTGCTAATTAACAGTTGGAGTAATATTTGTTTCCATGTTTAACAACTCATAACACTATGAATATATTCTATTCCTGCAGGAAATTAAACATTTTTTATTATCTGTTATTATAGATATAACTGCCCAGCAATATATAAAGTCATTAAAATGAACTCTACATGAACCATTACAAGCTGCAACATTAAAGTGATATGTGTTCATCACTTTATGCATCAATAATTATAATCCAACAATATAATTATATTATGTTGGAATGGACCATTCTGCATAATGACCATGTTTCATTTTGGTACCCTTCTTATATGACGCTAAAACTTTTGTACTTTTATTAGTATTTTACACGATACTATTGTTACTTTTGCTAGAAGTAGAGATCAGAGTACTTCCTCCAACATTGAATGTTACCATTAGTTTATTGAAATCTTAAAAGGGGTTTCTTTTACTCGCTCACACACACACACACACACACACAATCACACAATCTTCAGATACAGTTTGTGCAGTGTGTATGTGCATGCACTGTTTATCTCTCCATCATCTGCTGTCTGTCTGTCTTTCTTACACTCATGAAACGCATTTCATATTATAGATCATAGAGGTTAACTTGTTACCCTTCCTTTTCTTTTGGATAAATACAAAGAGATTGATTTGTTTTCCTCCACCTGGACCTGTACTCTCTGCCATTTCACCTCCTTATTTGACTGTTATCTGTTTCATACTGATTAATTTTTTTCTCACAGTCTGCCTATAGCATTGATTGGTCAAACGTTATATACTGTAAGCTGTTACATACAGTGTGTATTCAGTCCCTAAGGGTAATCAAAATGATTTTTTCTCCTCTTCTCTACTTTATTTGTTCATTTGTGTTGCCCTTTGCTTCATGCTTCTCTGCCTCCTTCCGCCACAACAGCTTTATCTTCATGTGCTGCTCCGCCCCGCATGCTATATCTGTTAATAGCTTATAAAGCTGCTATTTGCTACTTAATATATGCGGAAAAATGTGTACTGTGTTATAGAGAATCTTGGACTGTATGTGCATGTATCTGTGACTTTGTATCCTTGTGTCTTTGTGTTTCTTTTTGAGAATCGCTTGACAAAACTGTATTGTCTTGGGTTGAGGTTTCATTAGTTCCTTTAAACTTTTACGTTTTATTGTATAAGTTGACATGACCATGACATTTAGCTCTTTGTGTACGTATATCTTAAGGTCTTCATGTCTTGGTGAAGTACGCTCTACATGGGACTACAAAGGGTTTCGATAAATGAGAATTAAGCAATTTTCCTTTTGTTCAAACCTCAACAACGTCACAGATGACAATTGTCATTTATCAGCTGGTAGTGTGAGTTTACATTGTTAAACTCACCAATACGGTGTTCCCACTGGTCCCATTCATTTTTCAACAGTATAAGTCTGCTTGACACGTACTTGTGATAGTGCTTCTGGTGTTAGTTTGCATTTCCAATTGCTTTTGATTCGTCGTTGCCTTCTGTTTACCCCTGCAGTCTTTCTTTATTTTTTTGTATTTTCATCATCATCACGTTATATCTGACTTCCTTCTTCCTCTGCATTGCCTCTTCTATTCTTTCCAATTATATCCTCCAAATGATTCTGCTTTTCACTGTGCAATATAGTGTCCGTAGTTGTGTGTGTATACTGTACATTTGAGCCCATCTGAGGGAAATGTGTGCAGACGTGTTTACATTTCTGCTTGCCCTTGTGGGTGTTTTAAAATGTAGATTGAGAGATGGATGTGATTGTATCAAATATTACAGCTGCAGAATGTGATACCGTATGGCTGTGACACTGGGGGCAGCAAATCCCCCATTAGCATCCAGTCGTTCAAACATGTTATCATTTCAGATGGCATTGTTTTTATTAACTTATAGTGTTAGTCTGCATTTGATGGAGCAAACGAGAAAAAAAAAATTCCAGTTCAAAGTTCTATAAGCGTGTAGATAATACATAAGTTGTTTTTAAAATGGATTGCTCGCAGCACCAGTGAGGAAAAAATCTCCAATCCTGTATCAACAACAAATTCTTGACACCATGTTTTCAAATCTTTGGATTTACCGCTGTAGATTTTCAACTGTTAAGCTCCACAGCAATCGTGCAGTCTGCAATACATAACAATAGACAGCTAATTGCAAAACAGCAATTAGCTGATGTATCAAGCTGGCATTAAGCCAAGCGTCAGACCTCCCAGTAAGGAGACTCCAGGTACATAAAGATATGTTTTACCAGTAATTCTTCGTGAGGCATATTCCCATGTACTGCTGTTAAATAGGAAAAAAGTGGTTTGGCCCGCTATGAATCTCTGGTGAGGGGTGTAATGTTTTATAGCTCATTTGATACCTACTACCTTATTAAGAGTGAAATAATTTTAGGGATTTAGTCTAATCAGGTGCTCTGTTGAACAAGGGTGGAGCGCATTTTAATGTTTGCTTGTGCTAAATCGTTTGCCAATTACATTACTCAAACACAATACAAATAATAACTTAATTTCTAAAAAAAAAAGTTGCAAAATGCCTTACAATAAAAAAATAAAATGCTAAAGGAGATTTATGGGAAAAGGGTAGCCTAGAAAATATGTTCTTTCCTGCTCATCTAATATGCATAAAATACCTCAACAAAATTTTAGGAAATTACAGTAAACTTCAGTCAGTAGCCTACAGATAGAAAAGTGACAGAGTACTGTCTACTACACCACATCATCAAATATGTTTTGCTGTTGAAATTCCAGCTTGATTGGATCATAATCCCACTGGTGAAGATGTCCTTTTGTCCTCTGGGT